CACTCGGATGGCTTGTTCGAGGTTGTCTCCTCTAGCACTTTGCCTCAATAGGCAGCGATGACAAGCGAGCTTACTTAATGGTGATTCATGCTCGCCATGTCGCCGTGCTGTCGTCAGGTTTTGCGACACCTTATAGGCTTTTGACGTACCAGACCTCAGCTCGCGGCGCCCTGTTAACATGGATGAATTGGACAGAAGGGTAGAACGGATGGAACCGACAAAGAAAACGGAGACCGGAATCGCCATTTCTGGCTTATTAGCGGTCATCAGTCAGTTATACCTAGTCCCAGGGGTGGCGACCCCCAAGATTCGAATCCGCGAGCTTGGTTATTGACTGCAACACTGCCGTTCCACTTCCCCATGTTCTACAAGTCATTATACGATTGCCTGCGAGGGCTCCGTAGTAAGTTACAGGGCACAACGGGACAAACATGTTCCTTAACCGATCGCAGCAGACAAAACAAAGAGCCCGTGGTATGATGGTAGTGTTGCACTCAATGACCGAAGGTAGCGGGTTTGAGTTTCGGAGGTCGTCACCCTTGGGATTGAATATGAGTGGTTGATAGCAGCTAATGAGCCAGGAATGGTCATTCCAGTCTTCCTCGTCTTTTTCGGTTCCATTTCAACACATTCCAGAATTTGCTATGCGACTTCTTCGGGCTGTCTGATGTAGGCACGGGAGGTGCAGATCGAGAAGCACTTTGGTTGAGACAGTTGGTTCAACTGTCGAGGGGCAATACAAACCTAGTTGCTAGACGGACACAGTGATTTTGGATGCTAGGAAGGCGCTTCACAGGAACTTCCCGATAGTCATATCATTCCAATAGAATAAGCGAACGCAACTTTCTTGGATCCGACAAGGTAGCAATCCTAGTCACTATGAATGGCTTCGCTGTGTCCCAGAAAGCTTGCTGAGGTTGGTTCGGGGCACAGAAAGGTGGACGGTGTCTTCTCAAAGAAATCACATCCATGAATGTGTGATGGGATGTGTGGACAAGGCTTGTTTTGGGTGCTTTCGCCCAAGAAAAAGAGTTACGGACTTAATAACCGACAGTGTCACTTTCAAAGGAAGATGAAGGTCGCAATGTCAGTCAAGAGGCAAAGGTGCCGCAACCTGTTGATTAGAAATCCAACTCTCTGAACCATTGAGCCAGGGGCTCGTTGTCTTGCCGGTTTCGATCGGGAATAGAAACCTTGGCGGACAGTAATGTTTATCCGCCTGTAATACTAGCCGTTGTGCGACTGTTGGCAAGGCTCGAGAGTGAGTTCCAAGACAGAACGGGATGAGTCCCGTAACCGAGCGGTCAGCTCCTTCCCATCAATGCTCAAAAATTTTGGCAAACATACCACCACAAAAAATGGGTGACTAGAAGAACTGAGTTACTTCAGAGAGGAAATTTCGCCACGGGCATATTATATTACCCGTGAAAGCAGCCAATGATAATGACAGTAGCGAAACTGGTGACTAAAAACAGAAAATACTCCACAAGGGAACACCGAATGCTCGATAACCCCTTAGGCAGAATGCGGAACCAACACAAGAGACTCATCAGAGGTTTCAGCTTAGCGAAGCAGATAAAATAAATGGCACTAACTTGGAAGCCGATGTTCACATTGACTGACATGCCCTTACGGAAGACAGACGTGCTCTTGGGTCCAATGAGTTGGCAGCCATCTCGAAATTCTATTCCCGTGGCGAAGCTAAAACAAACAAATCAGACATGGTAGGATCATACCGCAGGATTTTGATGTACGACAATACGTTAGGTTACCACTCTGCGTTCCAGTTTTCTGCCAGAGATGCTGAGGGTTTCAGCAACTTAGTCTTCAATAAAGCAGGCTTTTACTGCAACGCTCGTCGTCTCCTCGTTCCAGCGCAAAGTCGAAAGCAAACCAGCAAGTAGTAGTGGTGGGGTTAACTACCTGTCCAACGTGGTACATACGCAAATTTACTTGCCCTTGTGCCAACGGGTTTTCCACTGTTCGAAACATTTTTGGTACAGGTCCGTTTGCCTTTGACTTATAATAACAACATACTCTTGCATTTTTAGTAGCCCGACATTCTCCTTTTGTTGTTATATTCCGCCAATATAAGGTCGAATTCCCATCAACAGACATCCGTTGCCTGAGCAACAGGAGTTTATGTTGATGGGGTTCATTTTATTTAGCTCATTAAAACAACTATAAGGGGCTTTAATTTAATATTCTTTCATCACGCTCAACACAATTAAATGTTCATTTACACTCGCCAACCAAGAATTAAATATTTAAGCACCAATTCCGTAAGACAGTTGGGCGGGGGGAATAGATATGTAGGCGGCCCTAAAAGACAGTTTTGCCCACTTTTTACACCCTTCTGGACTTATGTTGTTAAGCGCCTTCTGAATACACGTTACCTGTTGGT